ATCCCCATGCCGTATGCTCTAAGCCGTGCATAAGTACCCTACTGGTACAACGTGACCCCAAGAACCAAGCCTTAAACCCTGATCCCGGAAAGCCTAAACCCTCCAACCCCACAACCTTGCACAATCTCTGTACCCTGAAACCCTCAAACAACCTCAAAAACGTATCAAATCCCTGCCTTAAACCGGAGCTCGCAGTCTGGATCGTTGCAGCGGCCATAGCTCCAGCCCTGCTTGCCTCGCTGAGAGGGTTTAGGGTTTAGGTTTTAGTCTTAGGGTCTTAAGACTTCAAGAGATTATGACTTCTCGGCGCTCACACTCAGATTCGGACTTTGAGGGTTTCAGACCGTTTCAACACGATTTGGTTGCATCCTCCCACACCAACCCTAGCCCTCAGCGACCTCACGCAAGCTGTCCATGCCAAGGCGCTTTTGAGCCATGAACCCGAGGTCTGGAAACCCACCACCCCGCATAAAAACTGGGAACAATATGACTCCTTCGGAATTAGCAAGGGCGAGGACCGCTTTGCAGGGTAGCTTCGGGAACACCCTGAGGATTCTTTCCCTCTCGCATTAGGATTAGGGTTCAGGGTTTAGGAGCTTGCGGTCTTACACTCGGACTTGCCAGGTTAAGGTGTCTGGGTTAGCTACATGGGAGTTTCCGAAAACAGGGGACCCTCATATAGTACCCTAAATAGTAGGATCCTTATTACAAGGACCCCAAAATAAGGTACCCCCAGTTTTCGGAAACTCCCACATACAAGACCACCATGGTTGGCACTGAATGACGGCTGCGCTTCCGGGTTTCGAGTTCAAACTGCCACAAGTTTTGAGACTCTGGGCTCAGGGCGACAGAGCTCAGGGGAAACTGAAGCTCTCATGATGACACATTCACAAGTTCACAGTATGAACATACAAGCTGTCAGAACCTTCACATCATGCAGCAAATCTAGCAAACGTCCGCCTCGCGAAACCACACAGTTACACCAAGAGCTTTGGGCCTAAAACCCCTGAACCCGAAATCCCCTTTACCCAAACCTGAAACCTAAACCCTTTTGCAACTGTTTCTGCCGGGCTGCTGAACAAGCGGCCGGACCATTGAACTCGCACCGTGGAGCCCTTGACCATAAGGTCGAATGAGGTTTACCATAAGGATCCTTACTGGACGGTCTACTATACAAGGGTCCCTGTAAATGCTACTATGAGGGTAACTATAAGGACAGTGCCACCGTTCATTGGAAGTTTGCTTTTGTCGTGTTCATTTCATGCTCGAGTAAACTCCGACAGCATTGGCCTTTGACTCTGACACTATATGGGTGGTTGTCAACATTAAGGTACCTTTTTGGGTACCCTAAATAATAGGTGCCGTATTATAATAGGGACCCAAAAAGGGACCATAATTTCGACAACCACCCATACGCATGACACCCTTCAACATCTCATCTGCCAAACATAACAACAACAGTCCGTCGGGCCTGATCTCTTTCACTAAAACAGCAAAAGCATCACGACCGGGCCTCGTTGGCTTCCGCTCCTTTGCCTGGGCCGTCTACTGCAGAAACCTTCTGATCTTGACTGCCCAAGCTCTACTCAAAGCTTCGTTCAGCTACTGGAAACAAGACGCCAGCAGAAACGAGATGTCAATGAAGTTAACAGAGGCATGCGTTGCGCCAGAAGCTGGGTTTAGGCCTCTGAAATAACCTCAAACCCGAACATGTCATTGCAGCGCCAGATCTCTAGATTCCCTACCCAAAGCTGTGAAAAAGCCTGCACAAGCCACGAACCCAAACACCTTTTGCATACCAGCTCTCTAGGGTGGGACCCTGTACTCCTTCTACACCTGAATTCTGAATGACTCCTTTTTTGGAGCACGCTTCTCTCGGCCGGAACCTGAATGGATCCTAAACGCAGAACCCTGAACCCCAAACCTTGAAACCCGTAAAGACCCGAACCCACCCCACTCCTGCCCTGCACGAACCCCAAATTCAAAAATGTCGAAACCCTAGACACTAGCCCTCCGCGAACCCCGAAACCAACCCCGAAACCACCGCACCAGCTCCCCAAAGCCCGTTAAGATTAATATCTTTACATTTTAAGGAATACGTCCTCCCTTTGGTGGTGTTGGGCTGGTATTGGGCTCTCTGGGGCGCACCTGTGCGTAGCTCGATGAACTTCAATCCGCGACTTCCGAGGGCCTGGGCAGACGTGCCACTGCGAGCAGGTTTGGAGTATAGGGGTTTTTGCGCCTAGAGTTCAGGGTTTAGGGTTTAGGGAGGTTTAGGGCTTTTGCGAAAAGCCGGGAGCTTAATTCACACTCCTTCGAGGTTTCCGCTTTTGGGACTCCAGAGCACTGCGGAATTGAGACAACCGTGCAGAGCTGCTTGGAGTCGTAGCAGTAATTTTGTTGAGTCTTAGAATTATTAATATTACGAATGCGATTACTATTGGTATTTCTATTTCAAGATGAGATCCGCAGTATGAGCCGCCGATGTCCACACCAGAAGTCCCTGTCCCCTAGACATGATCATCGTTCCGTGCAGCATGCCCCAAAATCTTATTCGTTGTACTGCCGCAAGCCTTCATACTGAATGCTTGGGCTTCTGATCTTTCGCTCCCAATGCTCATGCTCTGTTAAGGCCTGTGTGACTGTGGATGCTTGGCGGATACTTGGGATACTGCCTGCCAGTCATCCGCAGGCGGTCCATCCTCCAGGTCTGTGAGTTTGGCAGGCAACCAAGTAGCTGCAAACCACCCACGCTTCGTTAAACTTTTGCAAACCTTAAACCCCTGAATCGTAAACAGGGGCACGCCAGCTTCCAGCTTGAACCAGAGCCGCGTCAATGCAGTGGGCATTGCAATTGCAATCCAAAACGATTTGCAAAATTTGTCTATACTCTCAAATCCCCATTCCAAGTTCTAAATCCTAAGGCGTAGCATTCAACCCACTTCTAAGATCGACTTCGACTGTTCGCACACCCTTCGGCCAGCTCCTCTGCCGCCGCTGGCAGGGAAAGACCTGACTCGAGGCTGGCTCTCAACACAGAGCTACAAAGATGATTGAGGCTCCTGCACTGCGTGATGCCATGACGACTGCGACATGGACATGCGGTTAGTTCTCCTGTCTGAAGCTGAACCAGCACATGCAGGCATAAGGGGTCTTTAGCGTTAAGATGCATGAAAGATAGGACAGGGCTTTGTGGTACGGTTTACTGTATGAAAACTATGTGGGGTAACGTAGGGACTAAAAGTCGGAAAGAAATCCTCCAGGGGGGGTCTTTGGTACCCTAAGCTTAAGCACCTCATGAGAACCCCAAAACATGCCCTGTGAAGCCAGAAGGGCCACTGCCTTTAGCAACCCTACATCCTACCTTGTTTAGCCCCGTGCCCTCTTTGTGTTAAGGACCCCTGCCTGCTGCCAGCGCTGCCAGCAAAGGCCGACGACACCATGCCGGGGCCGCGAAGGAAGGAGCCTGGCAACCAGGGCTCAACGGAGCCTGTCAGGCACAAAGGCTGTGGCAGAAATCGTCCCTGCCAACCCGTTTCGCCAAACATGCTCCCATAATCTCCCATATGTTCATGAGCTTCACAATTCCGGCAGTGGGCCCTCAACTTGACTTCATGGTTCAGAGCTTCCTGCCTAGGGCGACTTGAGAAGACCTGGTGACCTGGTGCTTCGTTTTGCGGCAACAAAAGCCTAAGTCCAAAGCTAGAACCATAAACTACTGGAGCGACCCCTCTTCGAAACGGAGGCTAAGCGAGGGTTCCGGCTGCACAGATTCTACTAGCTAGAGCCCCGGGAGCAGTCCTGAAGCAATACAGGGGCCTTCAAAATTAGAAGAAGGTTTTGGAAAAAATTATACTACACTTCTAACAAGGAGCCCCCAAAACAGTCATTCTAGGTAATTATATTATACTTATAATAAGGAGCCCCCAAAATAATACAGGTAATTATTGAAGCCCCTATAGCCCCCCGGTAGTAATTCTAGGTAATTGTACTATACTTATAATAAGGAGACCCAAAACAGTATATTTAATTCTCAAAGCCCCTATAGCCCCCCTGTAGTAACCTCAACTAGCTCAGGGTTGGGATAGGATTAAAAATGTAGATATTTATTCCTTGTTGGGTTTAAGTACCCATAAAAATGTAACCCTAAACCCTAAACCCAACTGTGACAAAGTCAAACGAGCCTCCAAGGCTGCACGAAGGAGCAAGGCTCCAGCTGCTGCGGCCAGGCACCGCACGCGGCGACCCATGTTTGCTTCAACTTTGGGATTCCTTAATGGGGGTTCCTATACAGTACCCTTAGGAGTGTAGGAACTTTGGGATCCCTTAATGGGGGTTCCAAAAAAGTACCCTTAGTAGTACAGTATAAGGCCCGAAATCAGGAGATCTACTTTCTAGATCCTCCTTCTTTGTGCTAGGGCCGCTACTGGTAGGGTCCTACTTGCGGAAGTTGCACGGGCTGCTTGAGGGTGCTGGGGGAGTCTTTCAGCATCGCCGCATCAGCGACATGGCTAAGGCCTCTCCGAGGTCGGACTCGGAGTTTTTCTCCGTTTTGCGCGTCCGTAGGGATTGAGGTGCACAAGCATACTTTGTGTCAAGCCCTGACAACGCTTGATCCTGATGTTTGCGAGAACTTCAGTAGACCCCAACTTGGAAAGTTGCCCGTGCTCACACCCATTTGAGTCTGAATTTGTCTGGCTTCGCTTGAGAACAGATGCCTGGTAGCAACCCTCATGCAAGCGCGCTACCGGCTTGGAGGCTTTCGCACGACCAGACACAGGCCGAACTCGAGAAGTCATGCTCGAACATCGCACCAGCCTGGCTTCCTGTTCGAAAGTTCAAAACTCGGAAGTACGGTCAAGAGGGCGAGCTACAGCTAATGGTCTTCGAGAACCGACATCCCCGAATGCGCAACACACCTCAGAGATACACCAGGGTTACGGGGTGTCCGAACCCTGCAACCGTGAAGTGACCCTTCCGAAAGATGTTGAGGTCGACGCCACCTCATCAAACTCTAAAGTACCTGGCACGGGCGAAGGGATGGCAGAACAAGCAGATGCCACGAATTTTCCACTACACACGCTCTGCAACCTGTTCAAGGACGTCAGAATATTTACTCCTTCTGCGTTTGCAAGAAGCCTTGGCGATTTCAGAGCCTCGTTTCCATGAGTTCGGCCCCGACCGGATACTTGGCTGAAAGCCCGAGAAATCGCTGTGGGAGACCACTCTTGTTAATGTCGATCAGGTCCACCACCTGCTACAAGCTGCAAGGTTCACTAAACTCCCGACACAGTGCCGTAATTTCACTCATCTTTCTATGACAGCTTGCAGCTGCAGTCCCGACGCAACGATTTGCCGATCCGCACATGAGGGCGCATTCTCTAGAAGCCTCGATAAGAGATCCTGTGCTGGCCGACGCCGACTGCGCTTTGCAGGAGTCTGTACTTATAATATAGGGGCAGAAATAAAAAGACTAGAATAAGGAACCCCCAGAATAGTATTGGTATCAGAAGAACAAACACTCGGGCAATACCCTTGCTCTGAGTCGTCGACCTCTTTCACACGTGTGCGGACGGGAACTATGCCGACGGCCCCCTTGGACGGAGTCGATGGTTCAGAACCACTGCCGGGATGGTTGTGGTCTGCGCAAACTACCACCACAACCACCACAAAGACGACAACGACGACTACTCCTACTCCTAAGCCTACTCCGACGGCTACGGCTACGGCTACCACTACCGCCACTGCTGCCGCTACGACTACTGCTACTGCTGCTGCTGCTACTGCTCCTTCTGCTGCTGCTGCCACTACTACCACTGCTATTTCATGGAATGCCGTTGCTATTACAGCCGTTGCCCTTGAAAAGCCCCAATTGTTTCATAGTTGGAAGGGTGGTAGCACGGGGGTCCGAAGAAATTGGCTGCGGTGTATCTGTCAATGGGTCTATATTCACAGAATAACTATGGATGAAAATTCCCACCTGGATCGTTTTTACATACATTGTTAGCACTCGCGCTCGACACATACATACATACATACATACATACATACATACATACAAACATACATACATACAAACATATATATATATATATGTATATTATGTGTACCTCTCTGTGTGTGTGCGTCAGGCATGGGGATGTTACGACTACTTTTCTCCAAGGGGAAAAGGAGGGACCCTGAATAAGGACCCCTAGGCATATACCCTGAATGTAGCTATTATATACCCATTATATAGCCCGTTATAGGGTAGGGGTCCCCATTAAGGGTCCCTCCTTTTCCCCTTTGATTCAGGGCCAGGCCAGGTACTGACAAAGCTCCTTCACAGAGACCCTGCCATTCGCATCCTGCGGATCGGTTGCCCCGATACTTACCTTTGGGTAGTAGGGAAAGGAAGAATGGTAGTAATATAGTAGTTATAATTGTACCCCATTCCTCCATTCCCTGCTAACTAATGGTAAGGGTAGGAGGCTTTGGGGATTCAGTGTTTTGGGGTGTTACTGTATAGGTTTTTGGGTTTGGGGATGTAAAGGTTTAGGGCTCTATGGGCCAGGTCTGCCAAGGCGGGCAGCCGAGGCCACTTCATCGGGGCTGATGGATACATCCCACCAAAATTTGCGCTCTCGGCGCGAATCCAGGCGAGGCATTTGGTTCGAGGTCTGATGTGTGAAACTTACAATCTTCGATGGGAGAGGCTGACAACAACACATTTGCTAATCGACGGCCACTTTCCAACTGAGATCCCTAGGGGTACAAATACCTAGTTCAGGATCTCAGTCACTACCATCTACCTTAGATAACACGACGGGGCTTAAGGGCTTAGGGGGCTTACGTTTAGGCTTGGTGACTAAGGATTATCTGCTTTGACTGAACGGCTTCGGAGAAGGGCATGTTTTCCGGGTTGTCGTTTCAGGTCTGCTAGGAATTTGGTAGGGTTTCGGGTGCCGTTAAAAGCTGCACCCAAACCCTCCGAAAATTAGGGGTACCTTATTCGGGGGTGCTTAAAATAAGGATCCTACTGTTTCAGGTACTATTTTAGGGTTCCCCATTGTCGGAAACCCGAGCGTATTGGCCGAGTTCAAGAACGACATCACGCGCACACGCACACAAACACGCACAGAGAGAGACACACGTCACAGACAAATACAGCAAGCAACGTACTGGGCGCATCAATTTTCAAGGAGGACGTGGCTGCCTACTTGCTGTCGTGCAAAAAAACTAGCGAAGCAAGTTCTGGGATCCGGATGCCGGCCTGATCCATGGATCTGAATATGGCATCCATCTCCTGGCGCCTCATCCAGCTGATAGATGGAGAGCTAGATAGGCAGATGGATGGATGCATGGATGGATGTAATGGAAAGACAGATACATAGACGGATAGATAAATAGATAGATAGGGCAAAGGTTGAACTAGGAGTTCGCAAAGCCCTCCTCTGCCAAAGGCCGAGCGCAGCACTCTTTGTCCAACCACTTCCTCGAAGGTTCGCTTGTGAAAACGGTTGCTTAGCGCAAGCGTGCTGCAGGATTTCGGAAGACTCAGGGAGCTTCGTGGGGTTTGGGACGACACGACAAGAGCTTCCTAGGCCCCGGCCTAAGGACCGCATGGGGAGTGGGTTGTTTGATTGTTTTTTCCAAGCATGAGGCGCGACAGCATCGGCTGTTTTCAACGAGACTATGTATCCAGACGGCGTGCCCCGGCCCAGAGCGTTCAGATTGGTTCTACAACCATGCGCCAAGGCTCTCTAAGATGTCTTTCAAGTCGTTCAAGTCCACCTGCGAGTACGGTGCCACCTGAGCTCATCTTCTGAAGCAGCTTTACTGACCCAAGGAATGAAAAGCATGTCTGTGTGAAGAAGTTTAAGCGATCCAACACGAGGTGCATCTGCCTTCACAAACGATGTATGCATGCACAACAACATGTAGCACAACATACAGTTGAAAGATAAACAAGTAGTCTTAGATGGCGAGATGCGTGCACAACATGTGCATACGTATATATGGAGGCATGGGCAGGCGGACGGGAGACATGTGTTGCGTGTCATGCACATTTCAGGTTACGCTCGCCCACCCACACAGATAGGTGCATGTATAAATGTATATGTATATATGTATATATGTATATATATATATATATATATATATATATATATATATAGCTCTCTCTTTCTTTCGCCAGGCTGGGAGGCGAACCCCCGCCCTTGGGGCCTCTCTCTCTCTGCATGTGTGTGTGTATCGCTCTCCCTCTCTCTCTCTCTCTCTCTCCCTCTCTCTGTCTCTCTCCTGTGCCTATATAATTACATATGTATGTATACACGCACTCCGGCGTGCCTATGTAGCGGTTGGAGGCGTGAGTCTGTGCTGCTACTTGTTTACCTTATGCACTAAGATCCACAGGCACCATACCGAAAACTTCCGGATGCCTTGTACTGCTACTGGTCTCGGCATTACCACAGCGACGACCACTGCTATTTCTACATCTACATTTACATCCACCACCACCACCACCGCCTCTGGTACTTCGACTGCTGCCAAGACGACTGGATGGTAGACTCATATGCAAAGGGAAGATGCCAAGATTATCGCAAATGTCTTGGCCAAGAACCAACATCTTGAGGTCCAAAGCAACAAGATGGAAGAGTAGTCTTTGCAGCAGTGTTGTTGGCATCAAATCGTCTGAGTCCCCTCTAGTTTCGGAGCAACCTCGTCAGTGATCTTCGCCACCGCTTGCTTGTCGGGATTGTGGACACCTTGTCGTGTAGGAAGCGTCTGCAGGGGAAGGTCCAGGGCTCCGTGTCAGTCTGGAGTTTTCGGATTCCAGCGCAACCCTTACGCCTTACGCTTTGAGCCTGATATCCCAACGAAGGCCCTCAAGGGGAGCCATCACACGTCACAGGGCAACGATTCCAGGATGACGAGTCTTGTCGAGACCCGAACGTTTCGTCGTCTCAGCTTCGATGTTGAGGGGTTTTGGATTTTGGTGGGAATTCCGCGGCTTTGCTCTCACATGTTCAGCTCTGAACTGAAAACTGCTATATCAGGGTTCGATTATTTTTTGGTGGGTTCAGCTCAGCCAAGTTAGTGTGCAGCGTCTAGGTGAGTGTCTGCGCTACGTTTCAGATTCCGTTGGGGGATGCCGACTCCGTGATTCCACATATTCTAGGATTTAAAATTTCAGCATACAGACCTTCAGTAGAATTATGTTAGAAAACAAACCCTGGAAAGCGAATCCTGATTTTCAGAAACCTCGCTTCTGTTGAACTTGTAGTTGACATACCTGCATTCTCTGCGCACAAAGAGGTGCTCGCAAGGTGCTGTTTTGACTTTCCTACAAACCCTAAACCCTAAACCCTAAACCCCTAAACCCCTAAACCCTAAACCCTCAACACCTCAGCACTAGCAGCCCTCGGCCCGAATCTAACCCTACAACCTTTTTGCATCAGGACACACCCTTTGTTGCTATTGGACCAAGTGGGAGTTTCCGAAAAACAGGGGACCCTAATACAGTACCCTAAAAAGAAGGATCCCTATAATAAGGACCCCCCCAAAATCAGGTACCCCTATCTTCGGGGGCACTCCCAAGTCTAGGCAGACCGCGACCTGGAATCATCACTAGCTCATGGTTGGGATAGGATCAAAAATGTAGATTTTATTCCTTGTTGGATTTAAGTACCCAGAAAAATGTAAAATGTTACCCAACTATGACAAAGACCAACCCTGATCCCCACCCGCGCATCGCAAGCCACAGCTCGCTTTCCCAATAAACTTGTTTTGCCAGGGCAAACGGCTCAGGGTGTTACGGTTGATGATATAAATCCTGCATTACCCATAATAAGGAAGGAATATATGGGAATTATGGTATATTCCTTATTATGGGTCATGCAGGATTCATATCATCAACAGTATGTAGGGAAGTCGGATTGGTGGACTGACGGTTTCCGATTTTCACAGATGGGACGATCCGGATGAGGACGCTCACAACCCCCAGCAAGGTACTGCGTTTGAGGGGTGGTAGGTATGTTCCGGAGCCTGAATTCAATTCTCTGAGGCCTTCGGGACCTGAGAAGCACGCTCACTCTCGGCAATGCTGGGCCGGATTCGCGCCATTTCCAAATCAGCAACACTGCAGGGCTGGCTTAGAATGGCGCCTGGAACACAGCTCACCAGCAAACTGCACAATTAATACTGGGCCCTTCGTATTTGGAATAGGGTTCTGGGGGGTATAGGATCGCATAACACAATGGGGAATATAAGGAGATAAATAGGCTCGACTCCAGAATTATGCAGTATGATACAAGGCTCACGAGCTATCTCGACTGCTCTGCGACTACACCTGATCTTTTCTCCGGTGTCGAAACTGGTACCAGCAATGGAGCTGCTATTCTCTGATTGCAGGAGCACAGCTGGATATCAACCCCGCCACGAAAAACGACACGACTCCGAAGGTGGCACGAGGCGCATCCCAGCCCACGTCTTTGCACCAACTCAGGAAGTTTTCGTGAGCAAGAGAGACCGCAAGGAGAGGCAACACAGCAGAAATCACTACTGCTGCTGAGATCGAGATATCCAAGAAGCACGAATACCGACTTCTAAGCAGATATGCTATGCGGAAAGCCAGCGCACAGAGCATTGGTACCACAGAAACCCCCCACGTCAGCGCCGCTCCCAGTTGCTCCCATTTTCGGTTTCCGGCCGATCTATCCATGTAGTGCCAGCAGACCGGGGAACACATCTGCAAGAAAAGTCTGTATGTAAAAGCGTGATTCACCAGCTTATGCACCAGAGCTGGCCGCATCTCCGACTGCACGTAAATCTCGAAGTTCTGCGTTGATCCAAACCAATGCGAGATGCATTCAGAAATAATTCTGCGATCACAAACCCCCTCTCTGCCACAGAATCTCTGTTGGCAGCAGGAACTGATCGCGTCTGACATTCTGAAATTCTTAAGTTGTTCTTCCAGCGTGTCAATGCTGCGGCAAAATATCCGCAGAGTGTGCGCAGCTGCGATGAAGCAAGGCACGGCCAAGACAACGATGAGGACCCTGCCTGATACTCCTCTGGTATATGCGGAATGAAGCAATACGAGTGTAGCCACGCTGAATCCTAGATGGCTCAGGGCAACCACGAGGCCCCAAAGAGGTGGAACCGCAGTCAACTTCGTTGTGTCTCCACGGCACGTATGAAGGAAAGTGCTCAGCTCGTAAAGACACCAAGATCGGCGTGCATAAGTTGGGTCCCACAGCACAAGCAGCCTTTTCGATCGTCTCAGGATAGCACCCATGCTCAGAATCCCTTCGAGCTTCAGCACGTTGTCTTCCTGGCTGATGCATGCGATGTCCAGAAAAATCATCTTCCAAGGGCGGTAGCACAGCAGAGTTACATAGTATGCCAGGATTCCAGAGCAAGAGCACCAGGTGCTCTCATGTTGTCCCCAACCAGTTGGAAGCATTTCGAGCATAACCAGAACATATGCCAAGACGGCGGCGAGGTTGCTGACCAAAAGGGCTGCGAAGCCGTTGCCCAGGATCAGGACGTTCAGATACTTCTGCCATGCTGCTGCCTGCCAGCTGTGGGACCAGAACTCGTCAAGTTCTGTGGCCTTGCTTAACAGATACCAGGATTTGCAGCTATATCCTCTGATCCAAAGCCATGGTATGAGGTGCAGGACGTTGCAGAATGGAATTCCACGAATCATGTCGGGTCTCGTTGGTTTGAGATCGACGAAATGTGCAAGGACCTGCTCGTGATAGCTCCTTCTTATATCTGAATCTACATCTGGTTGAAGGGCATCGTCTACAGGGCCTCCTTCGGCAAGACCTTCGCCATCGATAGAGGCACCAATGCAGACTTCCGCCTTCTGTTGAGTCATGCAGCAAGCATGGCACAGTGTCTTAGACAGAGGCCCACTTGAGCCGAGGATGGTTCACAGAAGTTGGGCACGATGCTGCCATGACAACAACGGGATCACGCAGGATCGAAGGATCGGTCGAATCTGTCATTGTCCCAGGGATAGAAGGCCCCAAAACACCCAAAACTTTAACTGACCCCTATCAAACCCACAGCCAAGCCAGCACGAAGCTTTCCCACACATCGGCGCACTCCCAGTCACAGTTCTCGTGCTTGTAGGGACACCACTTTCGGGAACCCCCAAATGGCCATGAAGCCCAAAGCAGACGACGCGCCCCCCTCGGTGCCCAAGTTCTATCACAAGCCCCATGCATCCTGCACCCCGAACATATAAGGGCTTAGTAAGGTGGGCTCTCGGCGCTCAGCCCAACCACCCCAGTTCCACCCTGAGCTCTCGACCGAGAACTTCGAGGGCATCGGGGACCAGCTCCTGAGAAGGAAAGCAAGGAACATCCCATTTTGCTCTACCGAAGGGCCTTGCATGCCTGCCTGTTCCAGCTCACCGAGCTACCGCCTTGCCCCGCTACATAGCGCCCTGATTACGAAGCTATCCACACGCATCAAGACCATGGATGACCATGGTTCAGTGCTGACAGCTACATATCTGAGGGTAGGACGGGGGGACGGTTAGGAAGTCTCTCTGCAGAAGTAAATGTGGCAATCGAGCCGCTGCCAGCGGGGCATGTGCATATCACGCATGGTGGCTTTTCTCCAACTTGCGTGCAGGTTGCGGCAGTCGGCCGCGGATTCTTGGAAGTACTAGACTAGTGTCTTATTTCAAACACGCTCGATCTCGATCGGAGCAATGCTGTCTCGCAGCAAACTGCAAGCACTATTGCCTCAAGTGGATGGGGTTGACCATGCAGTTGCCACTACTGGACTTTCCGATGCGAGGCGGAAAGAAGAACTGAGGGCGCCGGTTGGCATCGGGCTCAAACATCAGCTCCGATCCAGAGAAGTGCTGAAGGAGTGCTCTCCATCCTTGAATGCGGGCAAAATTTACCTGTATCTTTCGATCTTGCCTGGCACCAAGCAAATTGTCCAGCAGTCGCAGGTTTTTGCAAAGGCGCACAACATCCTCAGAGTCCTCTAGGTCTAAGAAGATGTAGCCGCAGGGGCGGTTTCGGGCAGCATTCATGGGCATGTAGTAGAACCTCACCTTGGTAAGCAAGTTGAGGTCTCGCAGCCGCACGAGGAAGCGATCCGGCTGGCAGGACTTGGAGATTTTCACAAGCATGACTGTCGTCCGCCTGTCGGCCCCGAACTCCAATGCTTCCAGGTTGATAGAGAGCATGCTCGACGTATGGTTGGACCCAGGAAAAGGCAGAGGCACTTCATGTGCAAAGGGACTATCCACTGATGCACCCGTTCCTGTGTCTCCGGTCAAGTTCTGGACAAAAGCAGGCACCTGTACAATCTGCTCTGTCCCAGAGGTACTGTCGACTGGCTGGCTCTTGGTGTCAGAGCCGATTGAAAATCGTGAAGTCGTGTCTCCTTGATCTGCTGTGGTGCCACAACCGTCTGAAACATTGTAGCTGGAGCTTGCCTGCGCTCCCCCCGCAAGAGACTCCTCGTCATCGCTCTCCAAATCGTGTTGTGTTGAGCTCTGCCCAGCCTCTGCGACCGCAGTTTCAGCTGGACTAACCTCACTGCAGGGCCATCCACGATGCAAACAGGACAATGCAAACAAAACGATTCATCATAGCAGTCATAGCATCAAGCGCAACACCGTGAAAGGCTCCCTACTGTCCAGCCTCGGGGTCAAGAGGAACTTGAACCACCTCCGGCAGGGGGGCATCTGCACCCGCAGTAGCTGGCGGTTGGACAGTGCCCGGCTGCGACGCGACCTTGCAGGGGAATGTTGGAATTGATCGATTACAACCTGAACAGTCTGACAAATCGGAAAAGCATTCGTGACAACATCCTGGCCTCGAAGTATCGCAGCAGGCCGCCTTGCGCATCAGCCACCAATGCTGCTGCAGAGCTTTCATCGAAGTACGACACTTCCAGAAGTCCCTGCCTCGGGTTTCGAGCTTGCTTTGACCACTGCTGCTTTTGCATCTGTTTGGTATTTTACTGGTCGTACCACTTCCACCTATATACTAACTAACATCGAAACCCAAGACTGAACGCTGGCTTATGCCAGTATGATATAGGAGCCACAACAAGCGGTTGCGTCTGGACTTTATGTCGTTGTAGCCCTGTGTAACTAGTTGCAGACTTGACACCCCTAGTCACCCTACTCTGACTCCGCAGATTTTGGGTACGCACCGGCTACTTTGACATCTTCCGATTTGGCCAAACCAGAAACGCAACCCTTCAATCAAACGTCTGCGTCGCGCTGAAGGGTACTATAGTGATAAAACATGGAACGACCGTAGCGACGAGAATAGCCACAATACTTCTGGCCACAACCACCCCCCAACCCCAGGACACGAAATGTCTGGCAGACGAGTTGCCGGTACAGACCGTTCAGGTTGAGCGATGCTACTTCGCCATACGACGACAAGATGTCATTGGCCTTGATGATGGCCATGGACTTGGCAACCTCTCCCCAAAACCCCCCAACCCAAGCGAAGTCGAGCTTACGGCATTGTCGAACCCCTCAGCAGCCATAGCAAACCGGAAAAGAATCGCGAAAACTCGCAACTCAATGACAAGCCACCTGTGCAGTGTTTGCGTTTTGGTGCCCATTCCCAGGATTACAGAAGCCTGAACCCCAGACAAAAAAGAAACAGCGAAACCTCCGGTTCCAGGTAGATCCGCACAAGCTGATAGCTCTGCGCATCCGCAACCTCCCGGAGGTGTCAAAGAGAGTGCTTCGACTCTTACGCTCGTCACTGGAGGGAGCAGATAGTGGAACTTTAACAAAATACCTACTGTACTCAGAAGTCACAACCCCAACAAAAAAGAACTTCCAACAGGCTTCACCACCACCGTAACTCTACTGCGAAACCGGTGTTTGAACTGCCCTGAGCGTGAGCCCCAAGCCCTCAACCCTACACCCAAGACACAGAAACCCAAAAGCCCAGTACTAGAACAGAGACCAAATTGCGAAACCGGTGGTCACCCGACTGCCTGGTGGCCTAGTCCGATAATCAAGGCCTCACATCCGTAACTCTGACAGATTATGCAATGTTTTATCAAGGTTGCTGAGGGGGGCCTCATGGTTCCGTAACAGGAACCTTCAAATGGAACTTTATTCTAGTAACAGAGGCCCCTAGCATAACCCCTTGCAATTTCAGGCCGAAGCCTAAATGCTCACCGTTCATGGTGCAGGGTGGTGCAGGGCGGAAGCACAGTTCAGGAAAGGCACATGGCTAAGCTAAACAAGTTCAGCCCGTCACTGAGCCCAGACCGAAGCCTTTACCTCCTGAAATTCAGCAGGCATGCAAAACGCATTGCATCTCCACTTGCATCCGGTGCGGGAATACTCCCACAAGGAATGGCATTCTGACGAGCTCAACTTATCACCGTCATCGTCATCAACACCACCATCATTAGAACGATGATGATGCGGACGATACCGATGTTGATGATGATTATCCTCATCATCACGATAGCGATGATAATGATGCTGATCGCTGAAACCCGACTGGAACCGCACATGATGGCAGAGAGCGACAATCTTCATATTCTGGCTAGTGTTAAGAATTCATGCTCTTGGTTCTCGACATTGCTACAGTCTCCTTCGAATGCACTGCATCAAGCTCCTCCTGCACCCTAGACTCTAGACCCTATACACCGATTTTGAGCAGGGACTGCAATGCACTAAGCCCTGCATCCCTTCAGCCAAGCTTCAAACGTTGGCACTTGTAACTTATAGCTCAGCACGCGAAGCATGTTGCACTGTCTGCAACCACTGATCTGGGACTGCTTGAAAAGACAGGACCGCTACTCGATCTCGATAAGCGTGATCCACCCTAAACCGCAGCTTCATAAGCCCGCCTGAACTTGTATTGGCTGTGTCAGCTCCGGAACGCAAGGAAGGCGACCGCTGGAGCTAGTCATGCGCCCTATGCCTTGCCGTACTGCCGCCGTGCAGCATGGCTCGTAATCACAAGCAATCCTCTAAAAGTGGATGTACATGATGAGGCCAGTGATCGGCTACCCACTGAAGACCGGCGAAGCTATCGACAGCACTGATCATGAAATCCTAAACTTTAAACCCTGAACCCTAAATCCTAAACCCTAAACCGATGAAAAGAATAATAGTAAGGAGAACACGAAAGGAGAAGTACCAGTCCTCGTCGCGGTAGCAGGGGGGGCGGTAGTGGCAGTGGTAGTGAGGGCACTGGTCTAGACAAAAACAGATAGAAAGGCTGGGTTACCTTATTTTGGGGCTCCTATAATAAGGATCCTACTGGGAATGGCACATGGGAGGAAGTACAGTCTGTGCTTCAGTGGCTGCTCGCTGCGCCGCGCAATGTCAAGGAAACTATGCTGTGCTCGGACATGCTCTGGACCCAGCATTCGAGCAGGCTGAAATGCAAACGGCCGCCAGGATGGATTGGAATTGCCTACGGCTCGGGAGGGTCTTTGATTCAGGGCTGTCGGTCAAAATGCAGGTGTTGTTTGTCCTCTGCTCCTCTGCGCTGCAGCTCTCCACTCCAGGCAGCAACATAAGATATTATGAATTGTGAGGCTATTGGCTTTGGGACCGGCGATGCTGCATTGCCAAAGGTCCAGCGCATTTGGAATGCTGGTGGCGGCGACAAATTTCTAGAAGCTTCGGTACAAGTCTGTCGGTCCCTGACATCTCCGGACCAACTGAATAAACGTCTACAAGCCTTCACGTCAAGCTCTGCAGAATGGACCCGGCTGCCCCACAAAAACCTACATAACACCGTGCCTTTGCCAGCAGCTTCGACTCGGGATTCTTGAGGCGGTCGAAGCACCGATTGATGGCTTGTACCTGGCGTGCTGCTTCTGCCCCCATCATCTTCGTCCTCCTCGTGGCGTTGACACTTTTCTTGCTGGTGCTGTTGCTGGTGGCATTGACGATGGAGGTTGTATTTCTGTCTCTGCGGCTGCTGCTGCCGCCGGCGCCGCTGCTGCATGCCGAGCTCGTGTCACACGTAACACTGTTGTGTCTTACTGTCACATCTGTCGGCCAGTACTAACAACTCCTTTGTATCTGATACTCACGGTTCACCTTTCTCTGGTGGGGCTGATTGCTTCTTTGTTGCTCCCACACATCCGTCTTGCGGGGTGCTCGCTTTCGCCATGTCGTCAGAATGCTGCTACTACAGCTGCTTGGGCGGCTGCTGCCGCTGCCGCTCTTCCTCGACTCTTCAGTCTTGCTACTGTCGTCCTTGTTGTTGCTTGTCTCATCATTCATTCGTGTCACCATCCAGAAACCATATCATAGGTGCTGCCTTGTGCCTCGACATGCCTCGACAGGCAGCGAAACCGGAAGTTTTGAGCCAGGAAGAAGCCTATGAATCGGTGCCCTATACCCCATAAACTATTCGAGCCCAACCCTTGTACAAATGCCCTGAAAAAACAAATCCAGAGCCTTCGACCATAGAGACATCAAACCTTATGTGCTAGCCCTAAGCCTTCGACGGGGCACATGCTCCTCGGACAGGAGCAAGCCTTGAACGATGCGGCTTACTTAGCTGTTTTGGATTCGTGAACTTACAGAAATCTTTGCCACTCACCCGCAGAGCCCGGCGAGTGCAGTTTAGGGCTTTTCGTGGAAGGGTAGGACCGGGTGAGAGTTGCGGAGCTTCGTGCTTACAGTCGGGTCAAATTTTTGCTAACCACAGCGTGGATTGCAAAGCTTATCAGCTTATCAAGTTATAAAGAAGCTCAGTCCATGCCTTTTCGCGCTGATAGGCCAACTTGCAATAAGAAGATCAATTCAACAAGAATAGCAGCATCGGCATCAACAGAGCTGGTCAGGACAGTAGCCGCAGTCTTTGAATCGCAAATGCGATTTCCAGCTCGTCTTCATGAGCATTGGCAGATATTGGCCGTGAGAAGCAGCAGCAGCGGCAGAGGTGTCGATAGGGGAGGCAGCAACAACAACCACCACCACCACCACCACCACCACCACCACCACCACCACCACCACCACCCCAACAACAGCAACAACAACCACAACCACGACGATACTGCACCAGTACCCGACCAGTCAAGTGCCAGCACCAGTACAAGTACTAACTAGCACCAGCACTAGTACTACCAGTACCGCTGCCGTTGCTACTCCTACTACTACTCCTCCTCCTCCTCCTGCTGTTGCTGCTGCCTGCTGCTACCACCAGTGTCAGAACTGCGACAGCAGCAGTCCCATGCCCAGAGTTCTAGAATTGTCTGTAGTCCTTGCCTGTTGCCCTGAAGGCGGAAGTCTCGCAAAAGCCCTCTGCAACTGAATAAGAGCCGTCTGATGTCGTGTTCACAAGATTGACTTTGGCTAACCCATGATAAATGAGCAGGGCTCATAGCATTGGCATAAGCACAACAACGAACCGAATAGCAGATAAGACACAAAAGCACGACAATGCACGTAAACGAAGGACCAAGGTACATTGGCCAGCCGGCTCCGTTCGGGAAAGGCAAGCGATCTAAATGACAGAACTAGGGCTGCGATCACATGTCTAGGTTGCAGAGTGAACTTTTGGGTTCCTGCTTCAGGGTTTCATGCGATTCTGGGTCTCGGTCCGGAACCTGGAAACTTACCCCGAAGGCATCGACCGTTAACCTAAACCTCAAACCTAAATCCTGCACCATCAACTCTTGACCCCAAACACGAAGCCTGAAACCCTACCTGGACGCTGAACCCAAAAAACCCTGGCTGGTGCCTGACTTCAGACGCTCCAGGTACTGCGCTGCCTCCGACAGGAAGCCCCATTCCTTCGAATCAGGACTGGTTTTGGAGTCTGCGTAGGGGTTCCTTTTATTTTCGGGAGGGATACTGACTATTAACCATTACGGTTGTTGTTTTTGTGACTGTTGTCAGGAATATGTTGATGGGGAGATTTCAGAATTTAAGGCTCGGGCATAGGATTGAGACTGCCCGGGACAGGGGACGAAGTAGACACGAGGGAAGGTTGCGGGCCATCTCATCGGACCAAACTCAAGTAATATAGGGGCTTTACCAATAGGGTTTTGGGGTATATTATACCAATATTACTAGAATAAGGAACCCCGCAAAATAGTATAGGTCTAGGCAATTAAAATAGGCCCCCATATTGAGCACATGAAACAGCCGGACCCATCGGACGACCAAGCATGGACAAAACCACCAGGGCTCCTGGCAGCTACAGACCAAAGCAGCCGGACCGGACCAGGGATAGCAAGAAATAACAACCTCACAACTTCACCCAAAGCCCAGGACCTGCAAGTTAACCCCTCCGCAACTACCGGAAAGATGCCCACCTCGCCACGAGCTCCTGACAGGCTCTGGGAGCTGCGCAACTGCCAGAACTTTTAGCGGATCTTAGGGTTTCGTCTTCTCGAAGCGTGTCAGCCTTGCGCAGGGGCCATTCTAATCTTCTCTGCGTCGTTCCAATTTTATCGGATGGTCTTAGGGCTTAGCAACTTAGCCTTCGGTCTGGCTGGTGCAATTGGCGTGGTGGTGGTTTCCGCTATTCCATTGATCAGTCTAACTTTCAGGCATGAGGGCCTCGGGGCTTTGCAAGTTGATTTTCTGATCTGGAAAGCTGTCGGGAGTTTTGGCATGAAACATCAAAACGTCGAATGGTTTGTGCTTCCGACGGACCCCGAATCCCCGGACAGATGTACACACGCGCACACCCACATACTAAAGATGAAAAGAACAATACACAAACCAAACCAACCAACCAACCAAACCAGCAAACAAGCAAACCATGGAAACACAACACAAACCAACAAACCAACAAACAACAAACAATCAAACAAACAAACTAACTAACAAGCAAAGGAGCAAACGAACAAAGCAACAAACAACAAACAAAACAAACCAGCCAGAAAGCAAGCAAGGAAGTAAGCAAACAAACAAGCCAGCAAGCAGGCAAGCAAGCAAGCAATCAAGCAAGCAAACAAAACTGATGCCTCAACAAGTTAGGCCAAGGCCTATTGACGAGAGCCCTAAGACACCCCGCAGACTAATAAATAACAGTGTTTCTTTCGCATGATCGGACATCGGAAGAACGATTTTCTCCATCTTGTCCATGGCCCGGCTACTACAAGGGGCCTGAATAAATTAAAATAGGGTGTTATACTTGCCACTACAATTTTATAAGGAGCCTCCCAAAATAGTAGAGGTAATTATCAAAAAAGGAAATTAGTAAAGCCCCTATAGAAGTCTCCAAAGAAAGAAAGGCGTCCTGATCCCTCCAGCTGGAGCAGACCCACCTCGCTGCACTCGGCCACTTCTTGGTTTTAGGGCTCAAGCAGCTTCGGGTGGGCTTTTGCCTCCAGCTTAGGGTTTAGTGTGTGTTTCCCTCCTACTTAGCAAAGACGAGGCGCGCATTGCAGGGTTTAGGGTTTGGGGTTTCGGGTTTCTAGCTTAGGGTTGAAAAGGCTGTCTGTGTTGGTTTTCGGGTCTTCGTGTCGCAGTCTGCCGTTCTTGTCTCAGCAGTCTTTCGGAAAATATGTGCTCGCAGCTTAAGGGTTCTATCAGCGCGCACATCTTACCACCGCTTATCGAGTCACACTCCCAGTCTAACATATGGAACAGATTCAATTCACGACTACGGGTGTGCTGCAACATGACGATAGAGCTTAAGCCCCATCCCTGATACGCCTGGTCCAAGACCCAATGTCCAAACAATGAACCCTTTTTGCATCTGGGCCCGCTGATGCCAGGAACCCTATACCCGCCCAACCTTGTCCGTGTCCGTCACATGCGTAATCTGCGCCATGAGCCCTGCGGCGGAGCTTCGGCGGCGCCCACGACCACCCTTTCTAGGTCGAGGCTTCCTCGGAAAAGCGAGGTTAAAGGGTTTAGGGTTGTGTTTTTTCCCTCCTACCTAGCAAGGGTTTAGGGTTTTCTACCTAGCAAGGGTTTAGGGTTTAGGGTTTCACGGGATCTCAGGGTTTAGGGCTCAGGGCTTGGGGTCCAGAAGGGGTTATTGAACGCTGTTGCAGTGGTTCGGGGCTCGAGGTGTTTACAAGGGGGGTTGGGGCTTCGGGATTGCCGGATCAAGCATTCTTTAGGATTGGGTGTGGGGTCTGTGGATTGGGGCCCCTGATAACCAACACAATAGTACTAGCCGTTTGAGTAGCATTATGGGTGGGGAAAAAGAACTTGCATGATACTTGCACAGAATGGTTGGTCGATTCCATACTGAGCTTATCGACCAGTCTACATCTCAGAGTCTTGCTATCCACCCTGAAACTCAAAATGCCCGGAAACGGTCCAGGTCACAAGCCTTCGGTGTAGCGAGAGGTGCTCTGCGGCTGTCTGAGTTTTTGTTGCACCTGTCCATCTCCGAGCAACTGGAGCCCCTGATCTGCAAGACGAGGAAAGGACAAGAGGGACCCTGCACGAGGGATTCTGGGCTACCTGTACACGGGCTTGCTAAAAAACACTGCACCTCCAGCGCATAGCTACCTGTAGTCTCTATTACTCTAGCTAACATTCTGGCAAGGACCCATGAACCCTGAACACATCCGTAAGCTGGAAAACCCCACGCCGACAACCTCCTCAAACCCTGATGACACCCGGATCAAAACCCTCTCAAAGCCCTCCGCCCTCGAACTTGGGCATCCGCGGCTCCGGTGCCTTCGCCTCCTTAGCCACAGGTCCATAAGAAGTTCTTGTTCTTCCCGGCCCTTTGGTATGGCTTTGCGTTTGCGCAATATTGCCTTTTCCTTACCTGGACGACCTCGCACATCGGGATTTGGATTCGTGAAGGTTTGTTTGGGCTCATCCACTGGACCTTGGACAAGGTCAGCCGGTTCAGCCTCTCGTGAACCCCAAGACAACCCAAGCAATCACCACATCTCAGATGCAACAATTACAATCACAGAATCTATCTATGGCATCTAAGGAGGCCGTAAATTGGAAACCGCAAAAAAGGTGAACATGCAGCATCTTTAAGGTTATTCCTGTTGCCCTTCTTAGCAACTTGCTGACAGCACAGTGGGGAACTATTTGTCTGTTCATGAAACGAGCAGTTGCGCCGCAAGCCCGGCATCTCACTTTTCTCGCTTGCGCACGGCGGAAAAAATATGGAAAAGCAGGCAGCAGCAAACAGCAGGGACGCTGATGAGCTCGGGGGTACCCGCCCTTCTGGCAAACAATGCCCTCTTGTTTGTGTGTGCCAGTGTTTTTGCATGCCTGCATGCCTGTATGTCTGTCTGTCCGTCCGGCCGTCCGTCTGCCTGTTTGTCTCTCTCTGTCTCTCTGTCCATCTGTCTCTGTCTCTCTGTCTCTCTGGCTGCCTCTCTGCCTATCTCTGTCTGTCTCTGTCCGTCCCTGTCTGAATCGTCTGTCTCTGTGTGTCTCTGTTTGTCTTTGTCTGCCTCTGTCTGTCTGCCTGCCGGTCTCTGTAAGCACATATCATGCATCGAAAGGTCTATAGAAGCCTTAGAAATTGATTTGTTTGTTTACCATCTGTTTATATATATATATATACAGATGTATACATGTACATTTGTATTTGGAATAGGTACACATACAAGATATATCTGTGATCGGATGTGTGTATACCATTTTCCCTCTCGCACTGCCGCAGCTGCGATGCTACTAGAGAACACCCTAACCGTACATACTCCCTTACACGTGTTGTGAAGTATAGCTGCGTCGGGTACACCCTAGAAGCTTTCTTGAGCATCTGCCCGCCTGGGTGCATTGAAAGCACCACATCAGCTTCCTAACCGGGCCCTATATAAAGAAACCCGAAGCAATGCAAAGAGACTACGGAGCAAGAGATTGATACTCATGAGCATTCCGTGGTAGGCTATCTCTTGAGGCTCCTAAACGTCCTAGCTGCGGTTGGCGAAGTTTGGACACACTGTTGGCTTCAAATCGCTGACAGTACTCGATACACTCCATGGGCACATGATGTATCGCTATTGTCTCTGGTGCTCTGCACCGGACGCTACACCTCCATGGACGTGGTCTTGTTCCACATCTTGTTGTCTATCCGCTTCATCATGGCCTTCAGCTGCTTCTGTGGGCCACACTCGTAGAACTCCGAAATTCCGTCCTCACAAAACAAAGCTCCTGCTGCCTCAGATACCTGTCTCCGCAAACTGTCAAATACCACTCTGACTAGTAGTGGTAGCGTTGTGAAAAAAGGCGCTACACATGAATCATATATGGTATGGGCTCAGAACGTGCATCTTGTCCCATCGCAACCACCAATCTTCACTTTCTTCCTCATGCCGTGTTCTTGTTGAACTTGCTTCTTCATTCGCACTACTCGTATCACATGGGATCCATCCCTGCCACCATGACGATCGACATCTTCGTCAAAGCTAACTTTTCGAATTCACTTGCATCATGGCTCCTCGCCCGGCGACCCCTCGTTCGCCACGAAATGGACACCATCATCATCTTCGTCATGGTCATCACTAGCTCGCATAGCTGCAGTAGTCAGTAGTCGCGACGAAAGTGTGCAGGAGCACTCATGGTTGCTGGTGGCCGTTTCGTTTCGTTGCACTGCAGGTCTTGCTACATCCGGACACCTTGATCATCTTCTGCATGGACGGCTCCCAGAGAACAGGGCTCGTCAGCTGCTTTTGCAGCAGCTCGAGGATAACCTGCAGGGTTCAGGATTTCGAGTTCCTGCATTATTGAAATCTCGTGCCAGGTGCTGCTGGCTTTGTACGAATGCTTAGGTGTGGCAGCGAAGACATTTGCAGACTGCTGGTCCTTGGGAATACCATCCAACGATGACCATTATAGTTGAGAGCACTCGCATCGTGCTCCCTTTGGCAATTGCAATACATACGAGCACTTACTTTCACAGCTACACAGCCATGTAATTTTGACCTTGAGGTTTTGGGGCTGCTTGAACTCCACACCCAGGCCACAAGCCGGAAAGCCGTACTTCCGGTGCTCAGTACACCGCAAAATCGCCACCCCCTCGCCCAAACTCCCCACAAGGCAAAGCCTAGAGGGAGCTTTTCGACAGGCGCCTATCTCCCCGATGCACCGGTCCGCCTGTGTGCTTCCCAAAATCCTGAACCTCTCACGTCTACCGCAGACCCCTGATAATAATCCCCCCACCCTGACTTCAAAGAGATGATCATGGAACGCGGCAGCACATCAAGAAATGAAGTCAAACATTGTTCTGCGGGGACCCCCACCTTCGGATCCGTACCCGCCGACAATGGCTGGCCGGTGACGTTCCTCGGCCATCCCAGGCTTGAGGCCCATGGCTTTTTCCCCTCCTTCTAGCACGAACAGGATTTAGGGTTTGGCTCGCAACTCAGTCTGTTTGTGAGAAAGAGCGCCTCGGGAGTTGGGATGATGTGATATGAGTCATATGAGGGTTTTCAGCACTCACACTCGGACAAGCCTGGGCGAGGATATGAGGGTTTTAGGGTTTAGGACAAGGTGATCAAGCGAAGGGAATAGGGTCTGCGGCCAGCGGGCAAGCCGCAAGCGTCCTAGGCCTTTGGGCCTATTTGTAGCCAACCCTGTCAGGAAGTACGAGAACACCATGCATGCGGGGGGCCGTAATCACTAGAATGGGGTTATTTGCATGCATCATGCCATAACGAATATATATATATATATATATATATATATATATATATAAGGAAAATCAATCATAGTACCATTAACTAACTGCTCAAGCTTGCATGGTACAAGGGTATGAACCCTCTATCTTCCTCACATCGTCTCCTCGAATTGAGCTCTTAACAAGGGGCCCTGAACTCCTTTAAAATAGACTACATCTGCAAGCCCTGTGACCAAAGAAAGCTTGCCCGAGGCTCATGTAAACATCGCAGCTGGGGGGGCTCATCTTTGGCAGGGCCTCTTTCAAAGCCTTCTCCAGCTTCTCCTTGTTTCTATACCCCCCTTAGAACAATCATAAAACACTATGTTCAATGTTCTCTTGGGTGTTATATCACCAAGAATTTAAAAAGTATATTTCCTAAGGAGACTATAGGTTTACGGCTTGCGGGATCTTGGGTTTCGGGCTTCAGGGTTCCACTGAAATGCACAACGACCCTCGAATACCCGGTCGACAGGACTCAGACGAAGTTCTCCTTTTTGCCTCAAGCATCAAGCCCTCAACCCCACCCTAAACCCTAAAGCTTGATGCCTGAAGGTTTGCGGGAAATGCTCGGAGCTTGCTTTCGGCACCTCGAACGACGAACAACAGCACCAGTAATGCAAAAATGCCTGTGATACAGAGCATGCAACTTTCACTGGCTATGCGTGGAGTTACAGTCTAGACCCTTTCCCATTGCACCATGGGTAACTGGGTTGTCATGTTTGCCAGAAACCCTAAAAGGCCTAAAGCCTTACTCCAACCCTTCGCTCTAGACTCCACTCGAAGTGAACCCAAACTCCGAAGCCGCTAAGAAGCCCTTCCAGCACCCTTCTAGAACGCAAACCCCGGCCTCAACAAATTGAAGAAGAAGAGGAAGAAGTGCCACTAAAGTCTGAAAATAGGGGACCCTACTATAGCACCCTAAATAATAGGGTCCTGTATTATAAGGACCCCCAAATAAGCTACCCCAAAGTTTCGATAAAAAAACGCCCCCCCTGTCCTGGGCCGGCTGCATCAGAGAGGTGTGAAAGGCGCCTCCTGTCTTTAAAAGCTTCGCCTGATGCCCACAGACATCCGAGTCTGCTTCGCCCCTTTAAAAAAGCATATGGGAGTTTCCGAAAATAGGGGACCCTAATATGGTACCCCAAATGATAGGGCCCTTATTATAAGGTCCCAAAATAAGGTACCCCTAATTTTCGGAAACTCCCATATTCTTGCAGGATGTCAAGCCCAAAAAGGTCAGCTCATGCAGGCCTGGAGCGCCCCCTTCTTCTCTGCGATGGCCTTGAGCTCGTTGACTGCCTTCATACTTGCTGCTGTAGGACAATCCCCACCGTAAGCACAATAGAACTAAAATGTAGTAGTTATGGTGTCATTGTTGCGTAACGGTAAGAGTATTGCCCTCATCTCGACACTTCTCCTCGGGATTCGGAATGAACCTCATCCTAGTACGACCGTCATCACTACTCACTACCACTCGTCATCATTACCACTCCCACCCGCATAACCTCTCGGAGCCGCGTCAATGCTCCAACTCCCGGCCACGCCTTCTCCGTACCGGCACATGAGAAGCCCTTTGGGAAGAGTGCGTTGGCGATGCGACAAACGCCACCGGCTTCCTTCTTTTCAGCCTCCGCGCAGCATTGCTCCAAGACCTTCTGGTCCAAACCTGCCACAGAAAGCCTCGGAAAGGTCTTTGGCTTACTCTTTTTCCCCACCCGCCCAGCTGAACAAGTTCGCACCGCAGGGAATCCCTTTTCTTTCAAGCCCGACAACAAATCCAAGGGCTCAGGGCTTGAGGGGTTTTTGGGTTTCTGAGTTGAGATAGGGCATTGACTGGCTAGACACTGCTGCCAGGGAGCATCGCCTGCTTTCCCACCATCGCCGCCTCCTGCATCGCTTCCCCGCGCAACTTCACCAAAGTCAGGCCATCTTCGAAGCTGAGGACGCCGGCGGCGCAGAGCGCCGTGTACTCGCCGAGAGACCTTCGGCTCATTCCGCTTCTGATCGACACCGAAAAGGGGCCTACATTCCACAGTCATGTAAAGGAACTTAACAT